AATAATAATGATAATGATGATAATAATAATATTATAAACCATAATGATAATAATAAAAATGATAATGATAATAACAACAATAAAACTATGAAAAGAATAAAAAGAACATAATGATAACCACAATGTTAATACCGATGAAAAAAGTATGAATAATTATTTTCAATAATATTTTATACATCATAATTATTACATACCTATGCAACTTCCCTTCAATATCAGTGCTGATTATTGTTTATCAATGAAAAAAATAAAATAAATAAAAAATGCATACACAGACTAAGAATAGAATATTACCCGTAAAATCAAAATTTCGTTGAGAGTTCTGTAAAGTAGTAAAGTTTTCTATTTCTTCAGTTTTTTTTCGAACACTTATGAACCGCACTTATGACAAGTCTGTCTTCCCCAGCTCACTTATTACAGCCGAGGCGGTGAGCGCAGAACCACAGTGCTTGNAGAAATCTACAAATGTCACATATAAAACAAAGATAGAAAACACAAAAAATGAGCACCATGAAAAAAAACATAATTCTACCAAATGCCACAGATAAAAAAAGTAAAAAAAAAAAAAAAAAAAAAAAAAAAAAAATGAGCACCATAAAAAAAAACATAATTCTACAAAGCCACAGATAAAATAAAGTAAAAAAAAAAAAAAAAAAAAAAAAAAAAAATGAGAACCATAAATAAAAAAAAAAGGATAAAATCTACCAAGGCCACAGATAAAATAAGTAAAAAAAAAAAAAAAAAAAAAAAAAAAAATGAGAACCATAAATAAAAAAGGATAATCTACCAAGGCCACAGATAAAATAAAGTAAAAAAAAAAAAAAAAAAAAAAAAAAAAATGAGAACCATAAATAAAAAAAGGATAAATCTACCAAGGCCACAGATAAAATAAAGTAAAAAAAAAAAAAATGATTACCATAAATAAAAAAGAAAAAAAAATCTACCAAGGCCACAGATAAAATAAAGTAAAAAAAAAAAAAAAAAAAAAAAAAAAATGAGAACCATAAATAAAAAAAGGATAAATCTACCAAGGCCACAGATAAAATAAAGTAAAAAAAAAAAAAAAAATGATTACCATAAATAAAAAAAAAAAAATCTACCAAGGTCACAGATAAAATATAAGTAAAAAAAAAAAAAAAAAAAAATGAGAACCATAAATAAAAAAAAGGATAAATTATTACCAAGGCCACAGATAAAATAAAGTAAAAAAAAAAAAAAAAAAAAAATGATTACCATAAATAAAAAGAAAAAAAAATCTACCAAGGCCACAGATAAAATAAAGTAAAAAAAAAAAAAAAAAAAAAAAATGAGAACCATAAATAAAAAAGGATAAATCTACCAAGGCCACAGATAAAATAAAGTAAAAAAAAAAAAAAAAAATGATTACCATAAATAAAAAAAAAAAAAAAATCTACCAAGGTCACAGATAAAATAAAGTAAAAAAAAAAAAAAAAAAAAATGAAAACCATAAATAAAAAAAGGATAAATCTACCAAGGCCACAGATAAAATAAAGTAAAAAAAAAAAAAAAAAAAAATGATTACCATAAATAAAAAGAAAAAAAATCTACCAAGGCCAAGAGAAAATAAAATAAAGTAAAAAAAAAAAAAAAAAAAATGATTACCATAAATAAAAAGAAAAAAAATCTACTACCAAGGCCACAGATAAAATAAAGTAAAAAAAAAAAAAAAAAAAAAAAAAAAAAATGAGAACCATAAATAAAAAAAAGATAAATCTACCAAGGCCACAGATAAAATAAAGTAAAAAAAAAAAAAAAAAAAAAAAAATGAGAACCATAATAAAAAAAAGGAATAAATCTACCAAGGCCACAGATAAAATAAAGTAAAAAAAAAAAAAAAATGATTACCATAAATAAAAAAGAAAAAAAAATCTACCAAGGCCACAGATAAATAAAGTAAAAAAAAAAAAAAAAAAAAATGAGAACCATAAATAAAAAAAAGGATAAATCTACCAAGGCCACAGATAAAATAAAGTAAAAAAAAAAAAAAAAAATGATTACCATAAATAAAAGAAAAAAAAATCTACCAAGGCCACAGATAAAATAAAGTAAAAAAAAAAAAAAAATGATTACCATAAATAAAAAGAAAAAAAAATCTACCAAGGCCACAGATAAAATAAAGTAAAAAAAAAAAAAAAAAAAAAAAATGAGAACCATAAATAAAAAAAAGGATAAATCTACCAGGCACAGATAAAATAAGTAAAAAAAAAAAAAAAAAAAAAAAATGAGAACCATAAATAAAAAAAAGGATAAATCTACCAAGGCCACAGATAAAATAAAGTAAAAAAAAAAAAAAAATGATTACCATAATAAAAAGAAAAAAAATCTACCAAGGCCACAGATAAATAAAGTAAAAAAAAAAAAAAAAAAAAAAAAAAAATGAGAACCATAAATAAAAAAGGAAAATAATCTACCAAGGCCACAGATAAATAAAGTAAAAAAAAAAAAAAATGATTACCATAAATAAAAAGAAAAAAAAATC